TGCACATTAAGTCAGGAATTGAAAAAATTAGGCATAGAAACTATGTAATACTAACAAAGGTAAGCAAGAACAAAGGCAAAAAACACACAAATAGTATAGTTCCAATACAAGACTTTATACAGAGTGGCAAAGTTAATTTAACGCATATCATGAAACCAAGATAACTTGGATGACTAAAAACAAATAAATACATGGTAAAAATAATAAAGCGTGTCATGAAAATAATTATGAATATATTTGGGGCCTGGCACAGTGGCCTAGCAGCTAAAGTCCTAACCTTGCTCCAGGATCACATAAGGGCACTAGTTCTAATCCCAGTGGCCCTGCTTCCCATCTGGCTCCATTTGTGGCCTTGGAAAGCAGTCAAGGATGGCCCAATGCCTTGGGACCCTGCACCCATGTGGCAGACCCAGAAGAGGCCCTGGGCTCCTGGCTTTGGATTGGCTCAACTCTGACAGTTGCGGCCACTTTTTGGGGGGGTGATTCAACACATGGAAGATCCTCCTCTCTGTAAATCTGACTTTCCAATAAAAAGGAAGGAAGGAAGAGAGGGAGAGAGAAAGAGAGAGAAAAACACTTGATGGGGTAGGTACAGTGGCATAGCAAGCTAACCTTCTGCCTACAGTGCCTGCCATCATACCATATGGGTACCGCTTCAAGTCCTAGATGCTCCACTTCCTAACCAGCTCCACTTCCCATCCAGCTCCTATCCTATTTATGGCCTGGGAAAGCAGTGGAAATGACCCAAAGCCTTGGGACCCTGCACCCATGTTGGAGACCCACAAGAAGCTCCTGGCTTCAGATCAGTTCAACTTCGGCCATTTTAGAGAGTGATCAAGTGAATGGAAATTTTCTCTCTCACTCTCCTCTCTAACTCTGCCCTCCAAATAAAATAAATTTTTTAAAACAAACAAAAAAAAAATACTCTTCATATATGCTGAAGATTAGAATCTTCATGTATACTTCACTTTTATCTCTACTGGTCACCTGAATTTTCCCAGTGCTCTTAATGTACTTCATACCCAAGAAACTCAGCTGAAAAATAGCCATATGTCAAATAATGCACTAAAAAACACAGGACATATAATAATTAAATAGAGTATCTTTCTACAAAGGTAAAATAAACAAACAGATTAAAAACTTAATATGAAAACAACAGAAAGGCTAAATAGAAGCATAGAGAAGAAAGCCCAGAAAAGAAGAAATCATTGTAGAATAATGTATAATTAAGAAACACTGGCAACAGGCCTTTAGGAATTAAGAAGGGTGAGAGTAAGATTTGGACAGAACTATTCAACAAAAGTTTCGGGTTGGAATCATAAAAGTGTTTTAAGAAACAGTAACTAAGCAAATAGAACTATAATAAAAAGGAATATGAAGCCATCAGATACAAAAAGTAAACTGAGTCTGAAATGGGAAAACTTTGTATGCAAAGTTGAGAAGTTCGAGCATTTCTATAAACAATTCAAAAATAATCCAGATTATTTTTTCACAAGAGTGATGATAAATGATATTTTAGAAATATTAAGATGCCTTTTGATGTATATAATATAAGCTGTATATCTTTATTAAACATGATTACAGCTATAACAAGATGAATATACAATAAAACACATGAAATACACAACAAAGATGGGCAAACTGGCACAAAAGAAACTTAACAGGCTAATCCAAGATTTCTTTGTTGGGAGTAAAAAAGGTATAATATCACAAAGAACAGAAAAGAAGTAAAGCAAAAGAAAGATTCCTAGAATATGAGGAACAACATTATTATTTCCTTCATAATCACCATGTTTGTATGGGATTCAGACTATCGAAACACAGAGAAACTAGGTTAACTGCATTAAAGGAGTGACCAGAGAAGCTCCCAAAGTCATATATAAGAAATAATTTTACCAAGTTGAAGAAAACACAGTTGCTTAAATGTGTTCAAAGGTATTTAGAAAATGGAAGCCACATGACCTGTAAACTGCATTATTCATTCAGGGGATGGAGGAGACAACAAATAACAAAATCACATCGGGAAATCCAGAAAAGTGAGTTTTGGCCACGCCAGGACTCCTAGTTGATTTTACTATTAGCATATAATAACAGTAAAATTAATCTCTTCTCTCACCATCACACAAAAAAAACTACCTTTTTATGTTCCCACACCTTTCTTCCTTAAATATAATTGTCTCCATTCTCTTAATCCTCTAAAACAATTCCTTAAATCTTCTTCCTTCTTCTGTATGAACTTCCCTGCCATCCAATCTTATTCACTCTTTAATCCAATTTTAAAATAACAAATGTTAGAAATTTCCTGAAATCGCCTTTAATAAAAGAATCCTTAGCTTTACTTTAGTGTCTTAACACTCAACACAAACTCTTGCCCAACATGTGCTGTCATCATCCATACGCCACAGGGAAGAGGTGAGCCCAAGACACACATTCATGAGCAATACAGCCAGGTGTACATGTAGGTTTTCTAAATCCAAATTCTGAGTTTTATAATGTACTAATAGGTACATCTTATTTCTCAAAATAAATGTTATTCTATATTTAAATGAACATGTTTTTTCAATAAAATATCCTTATGTCAAGTGTTCCTTAGAGGGCATTTTACTAATAAAGCATAATTATCTGCAAGATATTCATGATAATAGACATTATCACTGATAAAAAAAAAAGTGACAAGTGAAGTACAATGTTTGCAAAACTGCTAAGACTATACCAAAAATTTTTTGCCTGAACTTCTGCAACGCAATGTGCAACCACAAAGACAATATGGGTGATTTAAGGATACCTGAGCATCAAAGGGCAGGAACGGGACATTCCTACTCTCCCTAAGTCTGCTAAAGCCTCAACTACTGATATAGTTCAGAGCATCTTATTACCAGGGACACATAAATCAAAAGGAGTTCAGCTAAGAGCAATAAAACAGATTAGTGTCTGGAAGAACTGACTTTAAAGAAAGTTTTAAAAGAATTAATTCCAGGTAGTCTAGATAAAAAACAGCCATGAAGAAATCATTTTTTCTTTGTTTGTTTGGTTATTTGTTTTGGCTTTTTAAAAACTAACACCCACACCAAAAAGACTTTACTCTGAAGGAATATATCTTAAAAATGCAAATATTATCATATCTTAAAGAATATTTACAAAGGAGAAATTCAGGATAAATTTTCCAGCAAAAACCTATGGGACAAATGAGTTCTCTTGCCTAGGAGAGGTAGAAAGTGCATTCCAACAGATATTTAACACCAGGATGGACAAAGCAAGAAAAGGATCCATATGGAAAGATCCTGTAGTGGTGGGTGGACTGAAAATGACCTCTTAGATGGCGTTCACTTCTGATTCTTCTAATTCTTTGAAATTTTATGGGGCACAGAGTCCTGCCAATTTCTTTTCTCCTCATGATACCCACTTTCTTTCTCCTTTTACAATGGGAAACAAATTGTGTCCATTTTAAGAAGATGTAAGTGTTCTTAATGATTCAGTAGTATAAGACATTGCAGGAAACAGACTAATTACTAAATTCATGATGATCTTCTATCCCCACCCCCGGCAAATCATAAAAGTCTTACAAGTTTCTCCACAAATTAAAGAGGAAGCAGTTTAAATGATTCTGAAGAACTATCTCATCAGAAAAATCATCAGTATTCTCCCTTCTTGAATATGATCAGAAAGCTGACAGTGACCCCAGAAATTATAAAATTTGTGTCATATTATACCAGCACTGTTGTAAGAGACCATCTTTTACCTTTTAGTATTTTATGCTGAATAACAGTAAAATCAACTTACAACCCATATTTTTATGACAAGGACTTTTACTTTTGAAAATACAGAGGCTAAATTAAGCACCAACATGTTCTTAAGAAAAATCCTAGTCATGTTTCAAACTAAGTCCCAACCTTACCCTTTTTTTTCCTCCATTCTGGCACCTGAAAAATATGTTCCTCAGACAGCCTTGAAATAAATCCCAATACCTCCCTAGAAGTCCCACAAAGTAAAGGCCCAGAAAATATAAGGACATTGTCTTGTTTAGCTGATTTATAAAGACAAGATGTAACAAAATTCCAGGAGACTCTGAAAACCTGGCCCTGAGCCCTTTAAAAAATAAAAGTATAGCTTACTTAGGAGAAGAGGGAGCAGGGAAATGACTGCCTTCCAAGAATAGACACTAATGTTCTTCTCTCCAAGCTTACCAGCCAGTGTCTGAAAGAATACCAATTCCCACTGTGCCTCTTTGAAAGTAACTCTGTCCCTCCAGCAACAAAGTTCATAGATACGAACTTCAAACCTCCTGAACAAACTTCTTGAAATACCATTTTTCTCTTTTTTTTTTTAATCAGTTAAAAATGAGATGTCCAAGTCTAAACGGTTTGAAGTTTTCAAAGCCCTTACAACCCTTAATTCATCTGATCCTGGCAGGAAAGAAGGCTAACATTTGTAATCCCATTTTAAAGTTTAAAAAAAAATTGTAATTCTGAGATTAGTCAGTCTGAAAGAGCATCCAGTGCAGTTTCTCAAACCCTCCTCAGCAAGAAACCAATCTAAAGAGGGTTATTCCAGAAAACTCTACAGTGTTTTGAATTGTTTTATTAAGATGGAATCCGTGTGTGTCTCATCCTAGGAAAGCAAGAAGAAATAAGAATCAGCCAAGGCCACTTGTGCCTATAGTTTTAGGAATGAACTATGTCTCTGACCCTTTAGTAATGCAGAAACCTGGCTGAATTTCCTCGGAAACCTGCTGCGCTTTCCCCTGCCAGTTTTCACCCTCAGTGGAGTCTGCAGCTCATGGAAAGCTGGGAAAAGGGAACCCTGGCAAGCCCCTAAGCGAATCCACTCATGTTAGGGGTCCCACACTCCAACTCCCCCCTTGCCTGCAGCTTCCAGGTTCTCAAGAGAGCATCCACAGGGCTCTCCTCAGAAATCCACCCACGTCTAAAGGCACACGGCTGGTTCTCGCTCCCAACCCCTCAAATCACCCCACCCAACAAGAACGAGGACCAATTTCTCACCATCCTCATAGTTTTTTAGATAGTAATCCGGGCCCGGGCCCCCTCGGCTTTTCGCCAGGTTCCTCAGGTTCTGAAACTGCAGAAAGTCGGTCCTTTTGCCCCCGAAGCGCAGAAAGGCGGGTGAAAGTCCCCGGGCCAGAGTCACCAGACGTTTGGAGCTGCAGGGGTAGAGAAGGAGAGAGGAAAGGATCCCAGAAGGCAGGCGCCCGAGAGGCACGGGGCAATGGCCTCTTCCCACTCCCTACCGGCGACCTAGCCGTGGCTAAGGACGCTGTGCCCACCCCAGCTCGCCGTATGCGCCAGCCCCAGCTGTTCTGCTGTCCGAGGCAACCCTGCGGCCAGACCGGTGCGCCCTTGGCCAACAGGGTTTCCTGGTACTATGCCTTCCTCGCCCAGCTGCCTGCCGCAGCAGCCCGCTTGGGCAGGCATCCCAGAGCTGCTAATGCAAGGTACTGATTTCCGAAGAGTTTGATTGTGCTGGTTCCCAGGCTTGGCGGACACTTGTGCTGAGAACACAGAGCGAAGGCGCAAATGACTGCCTTCTGCCGGCCAGGAAAGCGCTCCTAGCGGAGATGCGCAACGCTAGTCTCCGACTGCTGCCAAACAAATCCGCGGAAAGCCGGCCTCGCCTCCTGAGCTCCGTGGGCGCTGCTACCCCAACAGAAAAGGTGAAACTCTACTTTTTTAACTCCAAACTAGGCCCAGAGCCTGAGACCAAGTGGATTCCGACTTTTTTTTTAACATGAAATTGATTTTTCCTTTTCATTAACTCTGTAACCATCTCATTGTTCCCCAAACCAACGCGCGGAGTGGGTCTGGGGGTAAGTGCTTGCCTTTCTGTAACTCTCAGGTCTCCTCCTCAGCACCTGCAGGAAAAGCAGGTCTCTTGCCCCGCTCCATGAAATAATTAAGACCGATCTCAAGAAAGGGAGCATCCTCCTTCCCACCAACGATGTTGGGCTTCCACTTTCTTCCATCCCACTTGGAAGTGCTAAGGAAAGTGAAGTTTGCTGAAAATATGGGAACTTGTGCATTGGGGAAACCTCAAGAACACCAGAAAAAATAACATGTACATGTAATCTAGTGTAAGTTCAGATCTCCTATCAATAGGTTTTTAAAAAGCCAAACGCTGCTACTTTGGGGAAGGAACAAGGAAAGAGTAATGCAGATGTCTATAACGCTGAGGGGACCACCGATCCAAATTTTTTTTTAACACTTTGCAGGTTCAGGTTCTGAAAACCCAGATCCAAATGAAATAAGAACTTTGTCAAGGAAGACAGGAGCAGAGAAGCAGGGGGGACTTTTGAGAGTTTTGCGAGGAGACGAAGAGACGTCGCAGCCCCGGGAGGGCCAGACCGCATTCCAGGGCGCGTGCAGTTACGGTTCGGGAGGACTGGGCGCAGGCAGAGAACACTTCTGTGCGGGTTGGGAGCCGGAGAAATGCGGCATTTCCAACAACCTTCTGTCCGGAAGTCTGCATAGCCAATACAAATGATCCCTGCCAGGGCTTCTTCACCAAAGAACTGCCTTCCAGAATCTTGTCTGCGGCAAGCAGCCATTTAGCGCAAAAAGACTGCTTTTTAAAATGTAAATAAGAGGATTCTGTGCAACTGCTAGAATGCAGTCCAAGTGGGGCACGCATTTCAGGAAACCCCCGGCGCGCCCCCCGGTAGGATGAGCTCTGAGAACTTTGGAAGAGGAAGCTGGGCAGCCCAGGGCTGTCGCCGCCCTCCCTGCGTCTGCACCCGAAGGAACTGAACCGTTTCCGCGGCAGCGGCGACAACCACCTAAGATTGGGGCTATGTTCCTCCACGTGGAAGGAGCATTCCAAGTGGAAGGCACATTCCACGTGGCGCTTTCCACTACCTGCCGCATCCACAGACCCGGCCGGGACAAGAGGAAACCCCAAAGGGATGAAGGGCGCGTGCATCCGGAAGAGTAAAACTCCAATTTCCCAAGAAATGAAAAAATACTCACAAGAGAGCACGGCAGACACGGCCTCTGGCAGAGGAGTGGGGCTGAGAATGCACAGGACTCTTCAAGGGAGCCCGCAGCTGAGGCTCCGATTTGGAGGGAATTTTTAAAAAACTCAACACTTGGATTCGTACTGCAGATCATTTTTATTTATTTATTTTTCCACCTGATGGGAAGGGATTGCAGATGCCTACTGAAAAGTAAGAATCGGAGGAAAGGGCGAAACCAATTAGGTTCCAAGCCCTAGAGCAAAGGGGATCACAAACCTCCCAGTTCACGAATATGGAGAGCCTAGGACTGAACTCTGCAACATCCTCCAGGCCGCCCCCACCCCCACGTATTTCTAAGATCTTACAGCTCCCCTTCGAACTGCTGTGACCAGAGCAAGGTTGTTTTGTTTGTTTGTTTGTTTTGCTTTCTTTCTTTAAAAGAAAACTTAAGTATGCAATTTACCACAGGAGATGGGGGGGGGGTGCATTCTGACCATAAAAAGCGCCTTACAAAGTCTTAAACACTAGAGAGGACAGCAGATAATATCAAATAAATGTTACAACTCCTATCCAGACTGGGCACCACTCAAATCTCTTCTTAAATTCGTTTCTGATGAAATTATCTTTCTGTAGAAAAATCCATTTTCATGCAATCCCCATTTTAAGTTTCTCTCTCTTTCTCTCCCTTCCCTCTTTTTCTCCCTCCCCCCTTCTAGCTCTCTCTCTTTCTGTCACACACACACACACACACACACACACACACACACCACCCCACACTCCCCCATTCCTCTCTTTGTTGCTGGAGACCTTTTTCTTCCCTCTCCTAACTGCCCTAACCTCTTGTTTCTTTTTCAGGAGACAGGGAGGCTAATTGTGGATGTATGTAAGCAAAACATTTTTTCAGTCATAACTGATAAGTTTCTGAAATGCCTTTTGCATTGCAAACATGTGCATCTTAATAGAAAACACTGCTTTTCTCAATCACTAGTTACAGCCTCATAGCAAATATTCCAGGAGGAGGGAAACCTCTTTTATTCTCATTGAGAGATCCACTTGGCTTACTTTCTTCTTTCCCCCTCTCGAATGGAGGGTAGGAAGGGGTTGGGGAGTGTTGCTTAAAAAAAAAAAAAAGTAAATGGTCCATCCAAGCCCCTGCCTTACCTTAAGAAATCGAGCCAGCCATCATGAATGATGGACGGATCCAGCTGCAGAGAGAGGAAGTTCTCATTGACTGTTCTGACTGGGTTCTTGGTGCTCACATCAAGTAGAATCAGGGTCTTTTCCTTCAAACCTGGAGCTCTGTCTACAGGCAAGAGTCTCCTATCTCCAGCTTGGGAGGAAAGGGAGAGATGGAGCAACAGAGCCAAGGAGAGAGCCACCAGGGCTAGGCACGCAGGGGGGCGGGAGTCGCTAGAGGGCATGGCTTCGGGGAAGGCACGGAGCACCCTCATTAAATCTCTCTGATTTAAGCCTCTCTCCCTACTGGGTCTCGCGAGTGACTAATTGTCCTTATCTAAAATGTGTGTCTGCCTTTTTCCCCCCTTTTTCCCTTCCTCCCCACCCCCCCCCCCACTCTCACTCGCTCGCTCGCGCTCTGTTTCTCTCTCTCTTTTTTTTTTCCAGTGTTTTGGTGCTGGTGGAGCAAACTCACGCCCCTAGCCAGCCTTCTCAGCAACTCGTGCCAAGAGTACTCGTTCACCAGCACCGCCCCTTTAAGAGATTTCCACTGCAGACATTTTTTAACTTTTTAAAGGTAAGGGGAGGAGGAGGCGGGAAATAAGAGGGAGGGGTAATGGTGTACCCTCCTGATTTAACCCTCTAGGGTTAGGAAACGGAGGGAGGAATCAGAACACTACTGTTGTAAGGGCTGAAGTACATGGCCAGACGTCTTGTTTTTACTTCCCTCCACATGAGGCTGGAAGAAGGGCAGTTCAAACTGTGACTGTGGCCAACCTCAGGCTAGGGTAATGCATTCCCACCGACTGCCTGCCTGTTAGTCCTGACAGCGTTCAGGCACTTTGCTAGGTGCCCTTCTCTACGGGCTGACACAACAAAAGCTGGCCTCACTGGATTCAGTGGGTTCTTGTAGGGGCAACTGTGATTCTTGCCAAGGCAAAAACCTCAGAGGAAGACTCAATATACAGGAACCTGAACCTCTGAGACATGCTGGGCACCCACACAGAAGCATCTTCTGAGGACACGGGCAAACGCTGGGCAGGACAAAGGACTTCACCAGAGAAGCCAAAGGGACCAGTCTGTGCCCTGGCTCTCCTCTGATTTCAGTGCTCTAGTAAGGGTCTGAGGTCCTTGAAAACACACTGGCTTTGACCAAGTCAAAGTGACATGTGCTGCACATCAGTCCACACATTTGTACCACTGCTTGGCCACTATATTCCACTGCACAGGCAAAATTGGGGGCCCCAGGACCCCACCTCAAGGTCAAAGAGAAGTGAGAAATGCAACCCTACAAAAAGGAATACAATTGGAACCCCTACTCAAGGACAGAGTCGGCCACACAACGCTGGATGAGAAGAGGCCATCTGTCACCAGCTGCACTACTGGCCCTGCTCAGGCATGCTAACCTACAACAGCTCATGGCTCTTGGTCTCATCTCTTTTTTTAAGATTTATTTCATTTTATTGGAAAGGCAGATGTACAGAGAGGAGGAGAGACAGAGAGGAAGATCTTCCCTCTGATGGTTCACTCCCCAAGTGAGCACAATGGCTGGAGCTGAGCCAATCCAAAACCAGGAGCCAGGAGCTTCTTCCGGGTCTCCCATGTGGGTGCAGGGTCCCAAGGATTTGGGCCATCCTCAACTGCTGTCCCAGGCCACAGGCAGGGAGCTGGATGGGAAGTGGAGCTGCCGGGATTAATATAGGTGCCCATATGGATCCTGGTGCTTTCAAGGCAAGGACCTTAACAACTACGCTATCGCGCAGGGCTCTCTTGGTTCCATCTTAAAGCATGGAAAACAGGTGCAGTTTCCTGCTGGTCCCCACTTCATGCTTCTGCAACAAAATGGATCTTTACTTGGCAAAGTAAGAGAACTACTTTAGAACTATAGGAACACAGGAGTGCTCCAGCGGCTCCTTGTTATCAAACAGAAAAAAAAAAAAACTTTAAAATGCCAGACAAAAGATTTCTTCCTGAATGGGTGTGCAAACAACAATCTCGGAGCCCTGCAAACACTGTAATGGTTATCCATCTTCCCTGCCCTCAGGAGCTGGAGTTAACAAATCTGAAAAAAGATAAGGTAGATGACCCTCACTTGGGATCCCTGAGGAGCAGCTATCAACCCATCCAACCAGGGAATTCAGGTTATGTTACAACAGACCAACCAAGAGAGCCTTGAATACTTAGAATTGCAATCACATAAAGTGAGGCTAAAAGAAAAAGGAAACCCAAGTTACACCACTTAAAGATGATTTTTAAAAATCAAGCTGCTGTACTCTGAAGTATTAGGTGTTGGTTCCAGCCCTAAGGTCTGTTTTACTCAGTTCCTGAAAATTTCTAAAACTCTTAGATCCTATAAAAGTGTGCTGGGAATGTGTGGTATGGTATAGTTCCAATAAAATAGTAATAATAATAACAATGTATTTTAATAGAAATCACGTTACTCTCAAGAAAGAGGTCATGAAATATAAGTGCTTTTGTCCAAGTAAATAGAATAGTGTTTTGGATCTCTGTTCAGTGATTTGTTTTCCCAGTCATCAGCAATTCCTTGCCATCTCCTTTAGCACATATCTTTCAAAACCATTATTAGTTCATTTGCTACTTCAGAATTAAAATGAGTTACATATATATATATATATATATACACATATTTTTTTTAACACTGAGTCAGATTTTCAAAGACCCAAAGCCCTGTCTCACAAGTAAATATACTTTTGCATGTCACATGTATTGGGATCAGTGAAATTCTGCTTCAATGAAACGAATCACTTTTACCCACTAGGTATCTGTAATTTAAGTGTATTTCAAAAGCAAGTACTCCTAAGACTAAGGAAGAACTTTAATATAATAAGAATCTGCTTAATTATGAATTTTCATAATGTCTAGTTAATAATACAACAGTCTGTAAAGGTTTGATGCCTCACTTCTTTAATGTATTAAATGTTTTCATCATAACCTTAAGATATTAAAGTCAAGAAAACAAATTATTTATTTTCTTAATTCCTAATGAAAACCATCTCTATTCTAGCATAAAAACTGTACAGTGATGTCCAACCTCAGGACATCAGGGGAATGAAATCAATTCAATAACATTTAAAGAGTTCCAGATACCCTGGATAACTCCAAGATAATCCGATTCTTTGGATTAGTTTAGGTACAGATTCCTAGAACTTTTATAAATATTTTTCTCCCATATTTTGTGTGTTTTTTGTCTTCCCTTAAACTGCATGTTGTCAATAAATTATTAGCCTTTGATTGATTGATGTTTCTTTCTTACCTTCTGTGTGCTAGAGGTCAACAATCTGCATCTCTGCTTTGGCTTAGAAGTTGGCCCTGTACTTGGGTTACCCATATGGTAGCCCTGGAGTTCTAGATGCTGTAGGTTCCCTACTTCAGCCTGTCCCAGCTCCAAACGCTGTGATCATTCAGGGAGTGAAGCAGCAGATGGAAGGTAACTCTCAGAGAGAGAGAGAATGTATGTATGCCTCCCTTTCCCTCTGTAACTGTCTTTCAAATACATTAATTAATCTTAGGGGGAAAAAACACTCTGCTTCGTGTGTACTAAATAGTCTTTATAGAGAAAAATCTTCGATATCTATGAGCCTAGATAAGAAATTTCAAACTGTAACAGTCCCAAGAAATTGAAGATTAACTGATTCAGTGATTCCAGATTTTCAGATTTCAAAGTAAATACTAGTTATTACGGAGAAGTGTACATGTTTGCCAACTTTTCATTTTGACTATAACGACCCTAAAAAAAGATCTATTGACTGCTTGTCACTATCACTTTCCAAAAAGAAATAACATTTCAACAACCAGAAAGAGCTGAAACAACATCAAAATAAAAGGCAGGTTTTAAACTAAATAAACAGATTTATGAAAAATCACTATATTATCACATTTATCATTTCATCTCAGACAAATGGAAATCTGCAAGTCAACAACATGTGTACTGGGATTAATACATCCTGAGTTTGAGGCCAAATCTAGTTAGAGTTGCTGTAAGATGTACTTACTTTTTGATGAGTTATCATGGATTTCATTTAAAATTTTCCTGGGATTTCTTTTCTTACTTTCTGTTGTCACAAACTCACTGACTCTATTTGACACCTGTCTTTCCTTATATTAAACCTTCAGAGCCTAATTATCTAATTGTCTATTTTCCCCTTCTGGAAGAATCATATGTAGCTATGTAATAGCAAGCAAAATTACCCACTTTAGCAGAATCTGAAAATCACGAATATCTCATCATTTACTGCTTTTGTGCTTGTCCTTAATAAATCAGGGGTGTTTTTCAAGATCTTGTTTTTCTCATGTCCAGGTATGGTGCTCAGGGTTATATAAACATTATCTTATTAATCTTTAATGCTCTGGGAAATAGATATAATTATTTCTGATTTGCTAATGAGAAAATTGAGACTCAGATGTTGAGCCATTTTCTCATGGTACATAGCTAGTAAGTGACAACACAGGACTGAAACTCAGAGCTACCTGATGGCAAAACTGTATTTATGTTCTTAATCCTAAAATCTAAATATTACGTACCCTCTATAACTTATCAGTGTACAGTGGATAAAAGTCTTGTAGTAAGAGTTGGAAGACAGAGTTTTAAGTCCTGACTTTGTCAGATCTAGCTGTGTGACTCTAGGTAAAAGTTGGAGCACTCAGGAGCCAGCTCTGTAGTATTTAATATAATATCCAAAAACAGAGTAAGAATTGAGTAGGATTATGTACAAGGAAAATGCTTTATAAACTCCAAAACATACAAATGTGCTGCTTCTTATTTGTTCTTTTACACTGACTCCCATGCTTAGCACAAACATGTCTCCTTAAGTTATGACCATGGTAAGAATAAAGCTATAGGGACCGATGGCTGACACTGTCACATAGCCAGTAAAGCTGCCCCCTGCAGCATCAGCATCCTATTTGGACACTGGTTGGAGTCCTGACTGCTTCACTTTTAATCCAACTCCATGCTAATGCACCTGGGATGATAGCACAGGATTACCCACACATGTGGAAGGTCCACAGTAGCTCCCGGATCCTGGATCCTGCTCCTGACTTCTGGCCTCAGACTGACATAATCCCAGTCATTTCAGCCACTTGGAGCTTTGGAGAATGAGCCAGAAGATGCAATTCTCTCTCTCTCTCTGTTTATCTCTATCTCTATCTCCATCTCCTCCCCCGTCATTCTCACTCTTGTGCCAACTCTGCCTTTCAACTAAAGAAATAAATATTTTTTAAAACCTGTATATAAATATCATAGTGGTAAGCTTGAAACAGAAAGTCAGCTGTATCTAATATGACGTCAAAAGTGCAGTAATAAACAAATTTCTACCACATGTTTCAAC